TGTGCTTCCGAAAGCGGGGGGTGCGCACCCTCGTCGGGGTGGAGCCGAGCCCGCCCGCAGCTCCCAGCCCCCGAACCGAGCTCCTCGCTGACTCACAGCACGCCGTCGCTTCAGGAAACACGGGCCGGTTGGCCTTGCCGCCTGCCTTCCTGCCCTCGGCCCGGATTTTAAGCTTTGCCAAGCAACCGTCACGGCTTTTTTAGGAGATTCGAGGTCCTTTTCACATGACTGCAAGGGCTCAGGCTTTAAGGAAAAACATCGTAATGAAAACCAAAGGAGCCAAACACGTAATATTGCACGTAGGGCAAAGAGCAGACGTGTATTAGGGGTGGTATGAAAATCAGCTAAACGCAGAAGAGCAGGGTCTGAGCTGTCACGGTGCCCGTCAGAGAAATGACAGAAGTTCCCAGGAGGGCAGCCGGGCTGTCTCAGTGGGCTGTTGCAGCTCGGAGATGGGTGGGAGGGGGGTTGTCACCCACGGGATGGCAGATAAGACAGCACAGCTGCTCTGCCGCCGCCACCTCGCACTCAGAGGCGTGAGTCACACTTCCGAGCAGCACCTTCTAGCAAAATGCGCGATTGTGTTCCTCCCCGCCTTACGCTTTTTGCATTGCTCCTCCCTACTTGATTCATGACTTTCAACACTTTCCCTCCTTCGAGGATATCTGGAATCGTAGGTCTTTATTTACACGACCCCTGCCATGCTGAGGTAATGCTGTGACGCCGGGACCTGGGCCTTCAAAAGCAGGAGGGTGTGCCAGAGGGGGATTGCGAGATTTGGCCCACGCTGCTGTGCTGGCCTAGGACGGGGAACGTCCGCAATTAAAAATCCCTCGGTTGTTTCTGAGAGGCTTGAAAAAACGTGCCATGCTGGTGGTTTTATTTGTGCCGCAATCTAGAAGATGGGTACAACGCGTTTTGGAGGAAGGTGGATGACAGAATTAGGTAATGGTCTGGTGCTGGGAACCTCACTCAGCCTTTTCCCCAGGCGCCTACTCTTCTGCGTTGCAGTGCACAGGAAAGGTTAATCACGATGTTAAATCAGACGTGTATAAATGCAGCTTCTGAGAACTGGAGTCACAGTAATAAAACAATTGATTTTCAAACTGCCATGTCTTATTGCAGACAAGGACCACTCTAATTAAGCTACTGGTTTCTACTACAGGCCATCAGTGTCAGGAAAAAATGGGGCTGTTTTCTGTGCAGAGCTTCTGCTTGCAAAGAGGTAGGGTTTTTTTCCCCTCACAGTTTGAGAAATCTGTCTCAGCTTTTTGCGTTTTGAATACCGGTGCAGCACAACTAGAAAATTCCCTTGCATTTTTATTACTCAGAGCAGCAAAACCTCACTGCAGGAAAAAAGGCTTTTGGTTTTTTTCCTCCAAGCTTTGATCTGACATCTTTTAACTCTTGAAGAGTATTACCCAGATTCTTAGGATTGATTGAACAAAGTGTGCAAAGCAATTGACCAACAGATTTTCCTCCTTTTTGTCTTCAGTTTGAAAATTCAGTGGAATTTCAAGTTTGAAAAAACTATTGACCTTCTGTGTGATCGAGTTGCATTTGTTTGATTTGTTGAATAATGTCTCCTTTTTTTTTCTTTTTTCATCTAAACAGGGATTTTTGAGAATTAAGTGCGGTTTTGGAAGTTTTTCCCATTTTTAAACCTGACTGAATCAGCAAAATGCCTGCTCCAGTTCCAGAACTGTGGAACTACATCCCAGAAGAAATCCTCATCCAAATTTTCTATTATCTTCCTCTTCGGGATAGATACATGGTCTTCCAGGTGTGCAGACAGTGGGCTACAGCTGTTTCTTCTAGCTCTGTCTGGCATGTCACAGAGATCAGGTGAGCGGAGTGGGTTTCTAATGTCCGATCGCCTCTGCAGGCATAACTAGATCACTGTTTTCAGTGCCTGTCAAACACCACGGTGATGTTATTGACATTAGTTGTGATTTCTGTGTATGATACCATCTTACGTGACTAGCACCTTTTTACATCACAGAGAAAACTGTGTTACATGCTGGGGTGTTTTAATTGCTGCGGATGATTTGGGGTTTACGGGAAGTATTGCATGCTTTGTACATTGCTCTAAGTTGGCATTTGAAAATGGCGAGAGACAGTTACTGACTCTCCAACTTCATGGTGACACTTCCTTCTCTGATGGGTCTTTCTGAGGACTGACTCTCTCACCTCTTCACTCCTTCAGTGTTTGGCCTTACAGTGACTCTCCAGGCATCGGGTGAGAAGAAACATCTAGGGTACCTGTTGGTGTTTGCAGAAACACTTAGAAAAGGAGAGTGTCTGCTCTGTGCTTGCTCAGCTCAGCATTCACAGGGACTCAGAGTTTGTTTTACCCTTCCAGCTGTGATTCAGAGGATGAGGAAGGCATGCTGCAGAGCCTGCTCCAGTTCCTTAGCAACATCAAACACCTGAAGATTGTGTTTGACCAGTCCAAGGAGGTCAACCGGAAGAATGTGATACGCATCTTGGATGTGTTGGCGAAACAGAACCACCAATTGCAGCAGCTGTGCATCGTGTGCCGCGGGGAGAACCCCTATTTCTACTCTGGCCAGGACATCCTACAGAGCATACGCAATATATGTGACACTGAAAGCCAGATTGATCTTCAGCATATTGATTTTCGAAAAATGCCCTTCACTCTCGATGGTGAGCTTGTTGAACTCTTAGCTACCACCAACCCAAACTTGCACAGTTTGTTCATCAACAACCGCACCCTGGTGTGCAACGTGGCACCAGACACCATCAGGAAAGTTCTCAGAGCATGTCCCAAACTCTCAGCCTTGGGGGTTTACTACGCCAGTTTGTCCGACGATGTATTTCAGGAACTGCTCAGACCCGAAAGAGCAGCTTTCACCCACCTAGACATTTTTTGTGAGCGTCTGGACAAATACATACCGGTCATCTCAGAAGAGCTCTGGGCTGCTCTAAGTCAAAAGCATCCTCAACTCTGTGTAGACCTCGAGTTTGATCATACAGTCCCTGCCTGCAAAATACCACGGATCCTACAGCTGAATATACCTGTGAGCACACTGCAACTTAATACCTACAATTACATGGTAAATCAGATTAGGTTTGTTACCCAGAGCTACAGCAGTACTCTGAAGAAGCTGGTGCTGCAAACCACATCCTCGAAGGACTTAAATTCCTCGCTGGTAGATCTGGCCAGGCAGTGCAGGAATCTGTCGGAGATCCACTGCTACTGTGTGGTCAGCCCGGAGGTGGTAGAAGCATTCCTCATGCACTGCCCCCATCTGAAACAATACACCCTGAAGGTCACCAAGGAACGGCACCCCTGGAAACCAGTAAGGGTTCAGTGACCGCCTCTTCCTGACTTCCGGGGGAAGTCGTGGGGATCTGCAAGAGGGCAGGGGAAGAAGGTTGAGGGCTCTAAGGAAAATGCTGCAAAATGCCCTCTGCTCACACGGAAAACATGCTGTTTCACCAGCACTGGCTGTTACATATGATGCACACTTGTTCTGCAGACCAAGCATTTACACTCGAATGTGACAGAGAAATGGTTATACAGAGAAAAATATGGCCTTTTTCTCTCCCCCCGCCCCCTTCTTTATTGGGCTATAGAGGGCAGGTCT